TGGTTAATTTGCAATTTATTATTTTTTTTTCATTTATATCTTTCTTCTTTCTTTTTGGACATAATTTTTTTTTTCAAAAATTTTAGCTCGGATATTTTTTAAAGTAATTTTTGTGCAGAGATCTTAATTGGTTATTTAATTTGTCACAGTTGTGTGTTAGGAAATTCAAATATTTTATTCTATTTTAAACGTTTTAAGTGTATTTGGTTAATAAATTTTTCAATTTGTGTTTGATCATTTTCCCATCTGTATGCTGGAATTAAAGTTCAGAAATAAAGAAACGATTTGTTTATGGAAATTACTGAGCTAGAACAGAGCTATGAACTAATTACCAATGTTGGACTAAAGCATTAATCTCAGGCCTCACATTTCAATGCAAATTCTAAAAACAAGTATTTTATTTATTTTTTAAACTATTTGTATGAGTTCTAACATTTCTTGATTTAATTTTTGCCACACCGAAATTGCATTCAAATATTAAAATTTAATTTCAATAATTATTGCAGTTGCAGTACGAAGAGAATAAAATTTAAATGGCATTTTCATCTTAACCCTAATCACTATAGTAAAACAGAAATATAAATTCTACTAACCAAAAAATCATAGAAAGTGTAACACATAAAACAATAAATATGAAATTAATTTCCCGAAACACTTTTCAATCAAATAAATCAATTAACTGAAAATAAAAATTTAAAGAAATAAAAATTTCAACAGTAAATACTATCAATGTTTAAAAAATAATTTTTTCAATTGAAACGTCAAGTGTGAGAAAAAATTATAATTATAATCTATAATTTTTGTTTATTTACAAGAGTGATTTCTTTTTTTAATCAATAAAAATTCAAGAAATTGTTTTATGAGAACTGTAAAAAAAATTAAAATAAGGGATACAGGAAAAAGTTCGAATTAGACCAAGAAGATATTTTGAAAACTGCAACATCAGAGATGAAAGTGCGTTGAAATTCCGTAAAGGCAATTCCAAAGCCAAAGACGCGAGCTGCTAGGGAAAAAATTTGTTTCTTCGTTAAGATGAATCATAAATTAACCACTGAATGGAGAAATTGAAGCTTATTTTTCTTTGAGTTCTGAGTAGGTGGGAGGGAATGTCGGACATCTAAGGAGACCATCGTAAACCATTCCGGGGTGTGAAAACAATTATTCATCGACGATAAAATGCAGAGCAGCACTGGGAAACTTTCCGTAAGTCACTTGTAAAGGAAAAGGATGGGATTTCAATAAAAACATTTTAATTATCAAGAGTTCGATGCAGTTTTTCTTTTTAGTCCAAGGAAAGAAATTGAAGCTCAGCTTTCTAGTAGTCTCAGGAACGTAGACAAAATATGCAGCATAGACATATGGAAAACCGATGATCGTTTAGTTCCACTGTGCGTAGGTATCATTTATAATAAGCAAAAAGTTTGATGATTGAAGAGTTTATTTTTTGTTGAAGAAGAATTTGACTGCTTATTTACCAACTGTTCATTTGAATAAATGATTTGAAGTTATTCCACATTTCTTGATGTACCCTCTTCCGAAGTTGATTTATTTAATTTCAAATGAGATATTAAATATCTTTAATGTACCGTACGTACCCGTACCCCGTTCCCGACCGTTTAATCCTGGCGACTTATAACGTCGTTGCCGAGTGGAAGGATTAAAGCAGGTCTTAGGTCGGGAAGGAGGGTACAAAATTTATTTATTACTTATTAGACAATGCAGTCATGAGAAAGTGTAAAAGTGTACACGAAAAGTTGTGCTCCTTGGTTATATATTAGGGAAAATCTTGCAAAGTAAAATCCGTAAAATGTCTTAATTTAGGGAAAGAGGGAAATCTTAGTAGTTGCTANTAAGGAGAGAGAGAGAGAGAAAGAGATTGATTGATTGATATTTATGTAGTATATATTAAGTGCTTTTTTTTTCTTTCGAAAAATTGTTAATTTGGCGAGATTTTTATACCTTTAGAAAAATTATTTACGTCAATAAATAACACTGGAAAAAAAAATTCTGTTGTATGAGATTTTCTAAGAAATCTTAGATATTTTCGTATCGCTGATTTCAAAATCGGTTTCTCTCTCCAAGCTACAGTTTTTTTTTCGAATTGCATTTTTTGTCTATTTGTTTACAAAATGCACAAGCTTGAAAACGTTATATAAAACAGGGGGTCGCATAAATGTTGCGACAAACTTCTAAAGGAGTTAGGGCTCATCGTTAGGATTAGAATTACATCGAAAACTCATACACGAAAATGTCGTCTTACGCTTCTAGGGGAGTTTCCCTATGATGAACAGTTTCTCCGTGTACTTCTGAACAGGTCATAATAGGGAACTGCCCCCAGCGGCGTAAAACTACATTTCTGGGCATGGGTTACAATACAATTTTAATCCTGATGATGTGCCCTAACTCCCCCTGTCCCTGTAGACCCCGTGTTTTATATAACGGTTTCAAACTTGTAAAAATATACTAAAAATGTCATTAAAAGCAAACTTTAGGAGAAAAATTAATTTCAGATTTGAACTTCTCACTCGGGCCAGGGTATTTTTTTTAACGCACTGTACAGATAAATAGCAGTTTTAAGGTTAACATTTATTTAGCTAATAAAAAATATAAACATATAAACATTCTTGCATTTCAATATGCATTATTAATAAATTCCTTTAACTTCTCCTGCAATGAGTAATTCCTTGAATATTTTTAAAACATTTTCTCTGTAGTTTTGATACCTTTTTTTCTCTAGTTCTTTTTGGCATTGTACGATATAAACATTAATCATGTCATCACTCATCATATAATTAAGGAAGATTGACATGATTTAAAAATATTGCTTTAGCATAATTAAGTTTCATTATGAGTAATAAAAATAAAGTTGATTGTTATTACCATACGTTGCGAGTCTTGTTCTCTTTTAAAAAAATTAACATACAATTACTAAAAGCTTATGTTGAATCAATGCAATAAATTGTATTTTCAAATTATTGGTACTACTTATCCTTTTATTATAAGTGTTTTGTATTACCTTTGTTATAAGTATTTGTATATAGACGAACATTACATATTAAATACTACAATTGATTCTACAATAGATATTATATAGTACTAGCATTACAAAAATATAATTTTTTATTATTCCATTTTACAAGTTCAAATGATTTATGTAAATGCACGTAGCATAAAGATTCAAAAATATAATTAAACTTTTATAATTTCTTTAGATTATAATTACGGTAAACATTTCATTTCTTCTTTATAACACTAAAAATCTTATCTATACAAATTGAGTGTCTCAAAATTTATTGGCTATAACTGCATAAGGTAAGTTCGAGCAAAAGTTGATCCGAAATCATGAAAAAAGAAGAAAAAAAACTCATTTATTAGTTACAGAAAACTGAAAGGCAGTTTTTATTACTTCATTTTTGATAGATGTTTTTAAATTAAGGGTGGTAAACTCGGTGCATTTTGTTTTTGTATGAGGTAGGCTTAAAAATGATTGCGACGCCATTGGGATTGCAGGTATTAAAAATATACCAAAAGAGCGTAAACTTTTTTTCAGTTCGAATATCTGATATAAACGAGACTAAACTAAAAAAATTTTGAGCTCTGTAACTATATTTCAATCTTGTTTCAGGAGGATCTCTAAGTGGAGTAAATCTATTAAACTATAAATACATATTTTCGTAACCGACAAAAAAATACAATGTTGTGAATAATTTATATCATTATATTTATACAGTTGATGTAATAAGTTGAGCGGGAGTTTAATTTCTTTGTGTTGCGCTTCCGAAAAAACAATGAAATAAAAAAATCTAATCAATAAGGAAATCCTTTCGAAAACCGGAAAAACAGAAGAAGAATAGCAAATCCACTGTTTGTACTTCCGAAATCAACAAATATGTGTGTTAGGTTGTAGATAAAACAAGTACAACTTACACTGGGAAGCGCGCGTTGACCATTGCATTTGTACTTAATTTCTCTTGATTCTTTTTGTTACTTACAAAAATTTCAGTAGTATATAGTTAGGAAATAATGTAAGACGCAGTGATCATAATCAGAATTTCAGGAGTATATATTATTTTATTTCCATTTTAAATGCATTACTTTTACGCAGTTGAAATAACTTTTGTCGAGTTTTTGAAGTTTAATGTGCATTTCTCAAAAAACATTTTAAAAATTAAAATAAAATTACTTTGTAATAAATAAAAATAACAGTTTACTAAATTAAATTATTATGTTTTTAGAAACAAATCAAATTTTCTGCCAAAATAATTAGCGAACTTATCACTCTTAATTTAATTTTAAAAATAAAAGTTGTTTAGATATTTAAAAATAAGTGTATAAACTTTTATTATATTTGTCAAAATGATAGAAAAAAAATCTATGATCGAATTCTTGGAATCATTTTTGATCAAATTCTGGCGAAACATTTTTGAGGTCAATCGCACCAAAAATAGGATTAAAAGTATCAAAATAAATTTAATTAGCAAAATAAAAGATAAACCAGATAAATTCAGATAAAACAAGAGGGAGTAAAAGGCAATTATTACGCCGGTTTTTAGTGTCAGCTGACAGTTAAAGTTGTTTTGATTAAGATGCTTTTAATTCCAATTTTCTTGTAACTGACCCTTATCTTGTTAGATTGTTACATTATTTTACCTTCTTTTAAATTTTAATTATAGACGATTTAGGTGTTTATTTATTTACTTTTACTTCATTTTTGCTAAAACTTCTAGAAATATATATCATGGGGTGAAAATAACGGACTCTATATATTATTTCTCTTGTTATCTATCTCTTTTTTTTCAACAAGTATGAAACTCACAATGATGATAAGTTGATTTTTTTTATCCACGTATAGCATAGCACACTGTTAATTTCGAATCAAATTATAAATTCTCAAGTACCACGGGAATGAAATTTTTTTTGCCGATTTTTATTACTCTTACTAAATTACTTGTTACAATGTAATATAGAAAATAAAAAATAATTATTTTTATTTTTTTCAGGTCAAAAATGGCTTATCAACTTTTCACCATTCTTCTAGTTTCTAGTATATTGGCACTTATTGGAGCACAATGCATCACATCCAATGATATTATAGTCAATGAAACAAGCATTGGAATTACAGTTCGTAATCTCATCGAAGGTAGTACGCGATTTAGTATGGACCTACTACGAACTCTGAACGAAGAACAGAGGCATAATAAGGATGCCAATGGTGTTTTTTTCAGTCCCTATAGCATTTGGTCTGCGCTACTTATTACATACATGGGTGCAAGAGGAGCGACAGAGCAAGAGATGAAAAATGTTTTAGGCCTCAGCGACAGCGACAAAGCAACCGTATGGGAAGCTTTCCGCAATATCAGAAATAACAATTTTTACAAATCGGACAGTTTTCTTCAGGATTTGTTTGAACCAGCGCTTGCAAGTTATCAATCGGCCAACAGAATTTATTTTCAAGAAGGTACTACTTTCAAAGATTGTATGAGAGAGCTGTTGGCTGATGATATTGCCTTTCTTGACTTCGCGAATAGAGCTGAAGAAGCTAGAAATACTATCAACAGCTACGTGGAACAGGAAACTAATAATAGAATAAAATATTTAATACCGCCGAACGGAATTAGTGCTTTGACAAGAATGGTAGTTGCTAATGCTGTGTATTTCAAAGAAACTTGGCAAAACCAATTCGACCCTCAAAAAACATCACGTAGGAGATTTACTACTCCTTATAGAAAAGATATCTTCGTAAATATGATGAAAACCAGAGGAAAGTTCTTGTACGGTAGAAGCGAAGAACTACAGTGCTATGCTTTAGAACTGCCTTATACTGGAAATACCCTAAGCATGATTATTCTTTTACCGAGGAACCGTTATAGCGGGGTGGATATCTTAGCCAACAATCTCACACCTCAACGATTAAGAAATCTTATAAATGATATGTATCCTCGAGAAGTATTCGTTCAACTTCCAAAATTTAAAACCGAAAATTCTTTTGAGCTTTCATCAGTTCTTGATAAAATGGGTCTGAGAAGTCTGTTTGATACACGAAAAGTAGACCTTTCTGGTTTCACTGGTCAGAGAGAATTCTCAGTTGATGCTGTCATCCACAAATCCTTTATCGATGTCAACGAAGAAGGTACAGAAGCTGCTGGTGCTACTGCAATTGTAAGTTCTCGAAGTGCAAAGGAACTCGAAATTGCAGCATTTGTTGCAGATTATCCTTTTGTATACTTGATTATGGACAACCTATCAAACACCATTCTTTTTCTTGGAACTGTTCGTAAGCCACCGGAAATTGAAAGTAGCTAGTTTAGAAGCTATTTTTTTTAACAAACTATTATTAAACTGTGATTAAAAATAATGTACAATTATTGTTTGTAGGAAACCTCAAGTCACTATCATTAGTTAAATGACATCAGTATTATTAATCATCTGACGTTATAGAAGGCAGCTTCATCATTTTTTTGAATGTACAACTTTGCTTGAAGAAGTTAAAATTTTTTGTTCAATAAAAAGAAAGTAACTTTTCAAAAGTGTTTATTTTCTTGCTTTTATTTTTTTTATTCGAGTGCAAATGAAGTTTTTAATATCTGAAAGACACTGTTTCATACTGCAGATAGTTTCGTAATTCAGTAAATTCACATCACAGATAAAGAAAGTTATTTCTTATTAAAATGTTTCACCCATATTTTAAAGTATAAAAATATGAAAATCAAAAAAACTATTTCACACTTTGGCGAACAGTTAAATTGACGAAATGTTACTAAGCTGATTATCAGGTATTAACAAAATATTGGTTATAGCAGGATGACAAATCTAATGAGCATTACAACTCACTTCATCTTGGATATTTTTAAACTAATGCTTTTAAGAGCTCTATGTACCATACCAAAATGGCGACTCCGATGAAAAGGACGTCTCTTTTTTTTTCCTAAAATTTTTTAGTACGGATCCATTATTCTAGAACTGCTTTGAATAAGCCATTATTACAAAATCTATGCCGGGATAGCCTGGTCGGTAGGGCGCTGGGTCCATGTCCGAGAGTTCGTGGGTTCGAACCCAACCGGCTGAAGACTCCCCGTGTAGTTGGTGACTGATGCACGTTAAAATTCTGTCGAGTCGCAAAGTCCTTCATGCTCTAATAACAAATCAAGACCTCTGGGGGTACTGGATTGGAGATCGATCGTTCTCTGATTCAGGTCAAAATTACGATCTGTGGATGAATGAATGGATGTATGAATGAATCCGCCTTATAAACAGGTGTGACGTATGATGTGGCAGAAGTCGAATTCTTGGCCATAGATGGCGCCACTGAAAAACAAGAATCGCACACTCTGCCATAAATTTGCTCGGTTTCACCAAGCAGGCTTGCCCGTGTGGCAAGTGGCATTAGTACCAACCAACCAACAAAATCTATTTATATGAAAGTAGTCAAAAAATGAGAATTATTAAATCTCTGAAAAATATATTGCTTGCAATTACCTTTAAAAAAAGCAATAGAGTAGTATATTTATGTTTTTTCTTTTTCAGAAAATATTGTACCCATATTTCTAACATTAAACCAGTTTCTAATGAATTACGAAGTGGCAAAAAATTCTGAAATAATTTGCCAACTGGCCACTTTTATGTTAGTAGAATATAGGCTTTTGACTGCACGTGTTTAGGACAAACCAATTACTTAAATAATTTATTTTAAGAAGCATCTATCTTACTTTAATCACATATGGGTATTTTCGAAAAAAATATGGCAGTTATAATTTGATAAGAAACCAGTTTCATATGGATCCCGCCTTGCAAAACAATGATATACTTATGTTTTAGTAAATCTGTTTTTGTAAAATTTAGCGTTGCAAAATATTATGAAAATTTCGAAATGCTCATAATTTTGCGCATTGTGGACTAAAGATTTGTTAAAAAAAAAATATTTCAAAGAGCAAAAATTAAAAAAAAAAAAAAAAAAAAAAAANACAAACAAATTGCCCACTTTTACGGTGGGCTTTGAGACATTTTTAAAAAATGTCAATAAATATTTCTGGGCGTATACGCGTATTTTCAGAAAATATTACATGCATATTTTATTACGAAATCAGTTTCAAATTAATCACATGTTGGTAAAAAAGTGTTTTAAAAAAAACGCAAAGCGCGCACCTTTTCTTAAGCAATATAGAGAGTGATTATAAAATCATGAAACAAACTTCGAGAGGGGACTAGAGCTTACTAAAACAATTATGGTATAGGAATGCATTAGCGAAAGTGACGCGTTTAAGCACAATAAAACGACACATTAACTAAAACATACTTAACGACGATATTTTTATACTTACCGACCTCATACTTAATGATTCCGTGCAAAAAATGTCGAAATTGTTGAAGGAAATTGCATCCACTAATGGCCATGCATGCTTGGCAACGTGATTGACTGACTTTGTCAGTTATAATTGGATCTGTTTGAAACAGGTGGTGTTTAAGATTTTAAGTCATTAACGTATGTATATTTGACAGAAGCGCCACCTTTAATTTTCTTTAGATTTAATTGTTTTAAAATTTCACTTTAGGTTGCGTGGCAACCTGAGATAGTTTTTTGTTGTTGTTCTTTTTTGTTGTAATTTAGAATTATAATTTTTAGAATCTGTTTTTAATGCTAAATTATTAGTTATTAAAAGATTAAAGTTTTATATTTGTTGTCATTCATCTGCAGAACTTGTAGTTCATTTGATTGATTTTATTTAAAAGGCGTCCGCATTATTTATTTTAACTTATTAGCGACATTTTATGGCTTCCGCGACAGGACAATTGGTACGTTACTTCTGATTTGAAAAATGTTTTTAGCATCAAAAGGATTTAAAAAGGAAGATCTTATTATTGTTGCCCAAGAAATTGGCGAAGTATTACCTCAAAAAGCTACTGTAGCGGATCTGAAAGCGATCATTTTGAAAAGTAAAGAATATTTAGCTGATCCAGATTTTGTAACAAGTGTATTGGTAGCTACTGTCAATGATCGACGACAAAAGGAGGAATATGAAGAAAAAGAGAGACAAAGAGAATATGAAGAAAAAGAGANATTACATGCATATTTTATTACGAAATCAGTTTCAAATTAATCACATGTTGGTAAAAAAGTGTTTAAAAAAAACGCAAAGCGCGCGCCTTTTGTTAAGCACTATAGAGAGTGATTATAAAATCATGAAACAAACTTCGAGAGGGGACTAGGGCTTACTAGAACAATTATTGTATTGGAATGTATAAGAGGAAGTGACGCCTTTAGGCACAATAAAACGACACATTAACTAAAACATACTTAACGACGATATTTTTATACTTACCGACCTCATACTTAATGATTCCGTGCAAAAAATGTCGAAATTGTTGAAGGAAATTGCATCCACTAACGGCCATGCTTGCTTGGCAACGTGATTGACTGACTTTGTCAGTTATAATTGGATCTTTTTGAAACAGGTGGTACCGGAATTGCTCCATGGAGTTTAGATTGGCGTTTTCAATCAAATGTGATTTCAGCATGATGGTGTGCCAACCCATTTCAGTATAGAAGCAATTATCTGGATGTTACTTTTGGGCTACTTGGGGTGGGCCAGTCCGATGGCCACCCACCACGATAGCTTTATAGAGTCTCGATTTTTTACTATAGGGATGCTTGAAGGCCCTCATTTTCAAGAATCCATTGAAAAACTCGTCATTTGACTTTCCTGTGCTGCTGCACGCATTCGTCAAAATCCTGGCGTATTTGAATCTGTTCGCCAGTCACTCCACCAATACTGTTAAGGTGGTAAGGTGAGTGAGGTGCCCCAGATTCGAATCCCAGCGATGACTGGTTGTTACTCTCTCTGCCTCTGACTCGCTCCGACCACAGTGCTAACGCAAAATATCCTCAGTGGTTAACGGATCATGGGTTGGAATTCTCTTACCATCTGGATAACCATGGAAGGTTTTCGTGGTTTTAGTTCCCATGTAACAAAAAAACAAGAATTAGTTCCGTCAAGAAATGTCCTCCACGAAGGCTAGTTTGTCCCGATGAAGGATCCAGCAGTTCCCTGTCTTCTGGTTTTGGTTCAAAATTACTACCAAGGATTTAAGACCAAGGAGTTGAGCATTGATAGTCGTAAATGCAAAATTGGGTACATGTTTTGAGTATGAGAATTTATAAAAAAATATAGAAAACATTTCTATGAAAAAGACATTTAGCGACGACGTCGTAAATATATATTTTTTTCTTTCATGCATTATTTTTTTGTACTTGTGCCTCAACGCTTCACTTCCACCCACATTGTTTGTTTTAGTGGGCACTAACATGCCTCAAAGTTTTGTCCCTTGATTTCAGTACCACCCTGTAAATACTTTGTATTCCGCCTGTTTCCGATTAAATGAGTTTTCTTTAATGTTTGAGTTTTTTTGATGTCATCCCCTCTGCAGAGGATCAAAATTGTGATGATATGTCTTCGGATCATCCTCAGGGACCTTTCCCAGACCGTCGCCAATAGCCCATTGTGTAGCTCGAGTGCGACGTAAATGAACTGCAACTTCATTTTGAATCACGAGTAACGAAAAAACCGCGTCACGCATATCAGAATATGATTGGTTAAAAATATTTTCCAGCTTAAAACTCACCAGTAAATTTCTCAATTTTTCACTACGGTGATCAGAAGTATGCGAACCGCATTCAATCAGAATGGTCCTATTCGTTCATTTTTACTTGCAGCGGGAACTATCCTACTTTGATGACTCTCCTTATGAGTCATCAGAAGTTTCAGAGTGAAAGAGAGAGGGTGGTTTAAATGGACACAGATACGAGGAGGAAAAGGGGTCAAGCGGTCAAGGGCGAAAAATATTCTCGGGGAAAAAAATTTACACGCCAAATTTTCTTTCTGTCTCGATTACGATTGCAAGTTCGTGAATTGCATGCAGTGTGAATAGTTCCTCAAGTTGGGGACGTCACATTCTCGATGCGTGGCTTTAAGGCATCATTCTCATTTAACTGAAAAATATGCTGACGCGAATTCGTAGATAAGTAAACTGAATCAGAGTTTTTTGAGAGTAAATATATTCCTTCTGCTAATTTTTGCTGGAAAAAGTTGTTGCATGCGGAAAAAATCTCACTGCCGTCCTGCAGTGGAATGATCGTTAAGACACGGTTCCCTACTGATCACCAAAGTCAAGCATCACTGGCTGCGGTCAGTGTGCGGGTGGGTGACCACTTGGATTAGTCTGCGTAGGGACAGAGGGTGTTCGGTATTGGTCCTTGTTAAACTGTTCTACCGTAAAGTGCTCGACTTCACGTGCAGTTCGCCGGGCTACCGAAGATGGAATGCCATCCCCTCTGCAGAGGATCAAAATTGTGATGGCATGTCTTCGGATCATCCTTAAGGTCTGGTTTCTTAGGACAAGCGCCTTATCTGGGCGTCAGCGGGACGTCAACGTCACGCTGACGCCAACAAAATACTGGTTTGTTAGCTCAAGGCCTGGTTTCTTAGAACTAGCGCCTTATCTGTGCGACAGCGGAAAGTTGACGTAGATCTGACGCCAAAAAAATACTTTTTTGTTAGCTAAGCATGAGCAGTCGGTCCAACGCAGACATTATCTCTCATTGCGCATGCGTTAATAACGTAAACAAATATTTANAGGATCAAAATTGTGATGGCATGTCTTCAGATCATCCTTAGGGATGCTTCCCAGACACTCGCCAATAGCCCATTGCGCAGCTCTAGTGCGACGTGAATGAAGTGCCACAACTGCAACAACAAATCTCACAGCAACTAATTGTCCGCCTGTGAGTGTTTTTGAACTACATGCTCGTTCATGCGCATTTATGCGTGATTTCATTGCATGCGAATCTCATGATCCAAGAAAATTATGGATCATTCTTACTGTAGGCAATTCGCACATCAAGGTGATTTACGTATGCTCATGCTGTTTATCTAAAAGACATTTACACTGGATTGAAAAAAAATCCGGAGTGCAAATTAGGAGATCTGAACGAAAAATAGTTTGGCCGATGTTTTTGTGAGTGACGAGTAATGTTTCCAGAGAGTGTCAGTTGTCTTTTATACGTAGTCGAATGTTTCTGCACATTTTGCATGAGCGCCAAGAAAAATAGCGTCCAGTGTTCGTGTTTTTTTAACTGTCCTAACTTACGGAGCATTCTCGCTGCTCTCATCATCCTGCTGCTGCCATCACCGTTAAGAGGGAGCGTCAGATTTGTGAGTGTTTTTGGGGTGTACCAATAAGGTTCTCACACTGTTTCTGCTTTATATATCAAGGTACCAATTAAGTAAGTATTCATGCAAAAATAAAAATCCCGATTCAAGAACATTTCGCAGTAATTTTTTATTTCTCCTATCTGGTACTCATTTTCTTTCGGTGGTATTCGGAAATGCGTTATTTATACACAGTGAAAATAGCCCTTAAGATAATCCATTTAACTAACTTTTTTCCCATGTCCAAAAATGTCCAGAAATAGTCTCGCGGTAATATTTCCGTCACAATCCAATCCCAAAACAAAACAGCCTTGTCCTGTGCATGGCGGGAAAAATAATTAATTAAAAATGCTTTTTTAGTTTTCCTAATCAAGTTTTTATAGTTTCAAAAACAGGTGAAACTTGCCATTTCTTTTTCCATTTTTTTTGGTTAGAAAATATCTTTTCTTTTCTTTTGTTTAGGATATTTTCTAAGTTGTATTTATTGTTTTGTTAAATGAAAAAGTAAAACAGTTCTAAGATGAGGTGTCAAATTTGTCACTGTAAACCTTCATTGTGATAGTACAATGGTTAAGGTATAAACATGGTAAACAATCATTTACTCATTTTTAACAAAGGAATTTACAGTTGTTTTAGCAAATGAAGAAAACTGTTTGAATTTTGTAGTGAGATGCCTCAGAACATAGACTTTATAACCACCATACATGTGCATATAGTGGCAAAATTGTGTGGTTATTTAGCAGCTATTAGTAAATAAATTTTTTTCTGCTGTGGAGTTACTAATAATAATGACCAGTTTTCCATCTCTCAATTGTGTGTACACTTAAGAAATTGGTGTTAATTTATTATTTGTAAGTTTTTTTTTGTTGTCAAAATTTGCATGGAAATTTTAGTAAGTCAAAGGAAGCGTGTTCTGAATTTCTGAAACATTTTATATGTTTATATTGTTAAAAGGCTATTTAAAGCTTGGAGAATAATATTTTAGTCTAACAGCAGTATGAAGATCATATAACTTAGTATTGGATGTAAAAGTAATTATTTTTTATTGAGTCAGACATGGAAAAGTAGGAGAAAATCAAGCTTTTTTTTTTAAAAAGCCTCTGAAACCAAACAGATAAATTTATTTACGTAAAACTTATTAATTGAATTGTGTTATATTCATAAAATCTATATAGATTAAGCAAGAAGCATACATATTCTATTTTGCTTGTGATTTTGATATAAATCTTTGTCGATGCTCTGGTAAATATGTAATCGCTCAATAAATAGCTAGAAGTGGACTGTAAATTGCACAACATTTATTTCTTATCATTTGGAAAAGAGCTTTTCTTGTATCTCTTCTCGACTCTTCTTCCACACAAACTCTCTCTCTGTAATTTAGATAAGTAAAAAACGGAGTAACAGCTATTAAAAAAACTGAAGTTGTTAAAAGAGACATAGAAAAAACATTGTCTTAATCCTTAAAACAAAACTTCAATGATAAAAATAATATTTTCTGGAAAAAACTATCCATAAAGCATTAAAAAAGTTAATGTATCAGAAATGTTTTTTAAAATGCTGCATTATTATAAAAATACCCATAACAGAAAGAAATGAAAAAAAGAAAGGAAAATAGTTGAAGTTTTGCAGTAATAGTAATATGAAATCGAATTTCTAGAAATTACAACTTCAGCTTTTGAGTTAAGTTATTGACCTAATGTCATTTTTTAAAATCTTCCAATTATAAATGTTCATTGAATTGTTTTTGAGTTTGAGAATCTTCTAACTTGTTTAATAGTTAGCATTAAATAAAAGTGCTGTGCATTAATCAAACATTTTTTCGGAATGCTCTGATAATATTTATTTTGGATTGCTGAATTTTTATTGAGAAATTTAATAATGATCAGTAATGAGTTAAACACAGTGCACTCTCGATATCTTGAAAACCTTGTTATATCAAAAAAATATATTTCCTCTTGACATTATATATCCGCCTAATGTTAATTTAAATTCCTATGTTATTAGAGTTTCTTCTCAAAACCTTGTTATGTGATTTTTGTCGAAATAGAAATTGTGAAAATAGGAAAATTTTTTTGAAATAGAGAAATAACGAAGTGAGTTTATTGTAAACCAATTCTTTTCTATTTAATGTAAAATTATTTTTGTCCTACTTTTAAAAATTAATTTATCATTGTTGTATTTAGACTTATAGTCAACTATCATTATATGCATATTTAATAGTAGTTATTATGCTTAATGTAGTGCTTTCACTACAGAGCGAGAACGCGAGAATCTCGCATATTTTTTTCTTTTCTCGCATTAAAAAATGATTACCACGAGAAATTTGCACATTCTATAAACCAATTTCAAAATTCGCGAATTTCACGCATTTTGAATAAAATTTCTCATTGCGCCATTTAGAATAAAATGCGTTTCACTTTTCTTCCTGGATCTTTCATTATTTTCAACATCCCCCCATTGTCTAGCTTCCCTATTTACCAGTATTGTTCAGAACCTTTAAGAACAACAGAACACCATCCCTCCGAACCACGGAACCTCTTTCAGAACGCATTTCTCTGCAACCACGTGTTTACCGTAGGTAAGGTTTCTTCATGTAAGACGTTCAAATTTTTTGCGCATTAATGTAAGATGGACAAAAAACAATGGACCTTGTAAAGGCAATATCTTCTACTCCGAAACGGACAAAACCTTTGTAAAAAAAAAAAGTAGATGTAGAACCTTTTTCATATGATGATGCAGTAAAAATATTCAATGCTTTAAAAATGAGAAGATGTTAAAAATGTATTATAATTAAAGAAATGATTTTTTTCAAGTCTCTTTGTGCTTTTTTTTTTTTTTTTAATTTTTAGAAATCTCACTTAACCTTTTGAAATCTCACCCTGTTTTTGAGAAAGGGTGAGAAATTCTCACCCATTTTTTTTCTGCGATGAAAACACTGTTAATGACTCTACTTTTTAGAGTAATATTTTAACATATATTTTTCTACTTTTTAGAACATGTTTAGTTCTGAACTTGTTATTTCTAAAGCTTGCTATCTCGAATTTTTTTTTGCTTCTCTTCCAACTTTGAGGTATCGAGAGTATACTGTGTTCTATTTTTCTATTTGTAGATGTAAATTCTATAACAGAAAAAAGAAAAAAAGGACATGGGTAAAGAATTTGTGGAAGGATGGAACATAGTACAGATATTAGGGGAAGGTGCTTATGGGGAGTATGTTTTTTCATATTATTTTTATAAACCTTTTTGAATATAGGTACAGAGTTGTATGAAATAAAAAGCTTTCTGTATGTATCAAAATCAAAAATCAAATTGGATCAAAAGCTTTCTGCAACATGGCACAGTTATTGATGTAGCAAAGAATACCAATTTTTACCTAACACTCTGCCGAAAAAGAGTCGATTTTTTTTTTTTATAAATTAAAAAATGAAGAGCTACAAATCTTAGAAAAGAAAAGATGATTCTTATGGCTCAGTTTGTTGAACAGCAAAATCTCTAAATCTAGGGCTTGCATTGAACATTCGCCACCTTGCCAAATGCAATAAAATTGNGCTTTCTGCAACATGGCACAGTTATTGATGTAGCAAAGAATACCAATTTTTACCTAACACTCTGCTGAAAAAGAATTAAATTTTTTTTTTTATAAATTAAAAAATGAAGAGCTACAAATCTTAGAAAAGAAAAGATGATTCTTATGGCTCAGTTTGTTGAACAGCAAAATCTCTAAATCTAGGGCTTGCATTGAACATTCACCACCTTGCCAAATGCAATAAAATTGCTTATTTGTTGAAACAAATTGTGTTTTGGCGAATGATTTTTTCTACTGAAAAGAAAAATATATATTCCCCTTGATTCTAAAAATAATGTTAAAAGGAATTTTTCTGAACTAATCCTGTATTTTTTATTGGATTATAGTAATTTCTGTTAGATGCATCACATAACCAATTCGAATTATGTTAAATTCAGATAATGTTAGTAACAAGAGAGATAATATAAGCCTGAAAGAAACTTCTGTAAAATATGAATTAACATGTTCTTTGCCAAACCACATGATATCGCAACATGAAATTGTTTCCTACAGTTGGTGTTATAAAACAATTGGATGATTATAGCAAAATGCATATAATCATCCAACTATATATGCATAAAATATATTTTCTCATGAGAATAACATGAACACATTGTTTATTAAAATGAACTTATTGTAAAATTTAATAACTAAATAAAAAAAATTCAACTTTGATTTTATCTTCATAGATTACTACTCTTCAATGATATAAATGTTATAGTATATTATCTGCACTCGGTTGGCAATGAACGGGTTAGCCTCCCTCCCCCTTCTCCAAATTCTACAAAAAACCTGCAAAACCTGCTGTATAAAAATAAAGTAGAATTAAAGGATTTAAATAATTACTTATCTTCTACTGCAATCCTTTTTTTCTGAATGATTACAATCGCAACAGTAAGAAAACAAGTTAGAGTAAAAATTCTTTTATTTAAAAATGAAAGACTTAGAGAATGATGTTTATTTTAAAATTAAACATTATTCAAAAAATGGAATCTTAAAAATAAAAAAAAATAAAGCATCAAATGTTACTTTATGTTTATCCTTATATTTCTGCTCTAGTCTAGAAGTTATCAAAAATTCCTACCAACCTATTCCTATTTCTTTTCCACAAAGATGATAAAATATCTAAATTTTTTATTTTCTTTCCCATTCATTGCTCATTTATTCCTTCCCAACTATAAAATGATTCTATTTGACTTTGCCTTTTATAAATTAATTCAATTTATAGTAAATTTGCATTTTGAATTGAAGTTTTCTATAAAAAAAAATCATAAAAAAATGCTATGATTTGTTTTTGGCTGAGACTTTTGAAATTCGGGTTATACTTTTGATATTTTTTTCTAATATATTGACTAATAAATTGAAGTTCTCAGTGCAGATTCTAAAAATTTGATTTCCTTTTATACGAAATGCAAGTCAATGATGATTTTCTTAATTATTACTTAGTCAAGGCTTCAGAAACAATGAATGGACTCTGATTGGAATTTTTGTTTAAATTCTTTTAAAGATTTTAAAATGAACTGTTTAACTTCAAGACTCAGTGCATGCCCACATTTAGATTTAACAACTCCGTGACTATATTTCAAGTCTTTATGAATTGAATTTTTTTATCCAATTTTAATGTTCTTGTATTTCATATTTTGGGTACATTTTATTTATTCTAACATCATATATTAGAAATATATCCAAAAGAAAAATCAGTGTATCAAATATTGTCAATATTCAATTCTATAAAATTTCATTTTTTCTTTTTTCTTTCTTTTTGGTTTGGAAAAACAAATGAAATTAAATCCTAACTGTTGTAATTTATCTTTTGCTCTATTGTGTAATGTATTGAAGCATTAGAAGATTATTATGATGAAATTAAATTTGTTACAGGCAAAAGGAATTTTTAAGAGATTTTAAAGTGCTTATATGATAATTTCTATCATACAATTTAATTTTGTATATCTAGTTTTAGCTTTGTAAATTTAATCTATAAGTTATATTTTAAATATTTATTCTTTGAACTAAATTTACTTATAAATTGCATATAAATTCTTTCAGGGTTCAACTTGTTATGAATATGAGTACTAAAGAAGTAGTGGCTGTGAAAAAACTTGATACAAGGAAAGAAGCAGGCGCTGCAAATAATATTCAAAAAGAGGTAATACTCATAATGTTACAAATTCAATTTGTGAAATTGTAATTTTTAAAGCATTTGATCATTATAATATTTTTTTTAATAAAAGCTTTATACAAATTAATATTGTCTGTTTAAATGAATTCTGCATTTGCAACAATTTCTGTTTGTAGAATCCTATTGTGTTTACTCCGTAACTTAAAAGAAAATATTCAAAAGAATTCACATGATTAAATTTTTTCTCTTAAGCATCTGTTATATACCTTTCTCATAAGCTTAGATCCAATAATTTTTAAAGAGCACAGTTCATTGGCAGTTCTAAATAATAGGAATTATATTTCATTTGTAGACAACTTCAAGTCTGGTTTAGATTCATAGCATTTTTTGTAATGTAATAATGTTTAAAATTATATTTTTTCATTTTTGAAGGTTTTTAAACCATAAAAAAACCTTTTTTTTAATATTTGATTATTAAAATTTTACTAAGTTTTAAATATTAATGAGGAATTGAATAGTGTGGAAACTATAGAATGATATTGCTAAATCTGTCTGATTTCTGAAAAATATAAATATATCAAAGCTATCTAAAAAATATTGATATTTTCAAGGCAGTCTTGTAATAAATATTTTATGCATTTGGAATCATTGTATGTAAAGCTCATGAAAAATAAAATTATGACTGGTTCTAGAAAAATATCCTTAAATTATGAAATTCAAATAGTAAAGTTCAGTTAAACTGTTCAAAATTCTTGCTTCCTATTAAGAGTAATCTCTTTTTGTTTGCTAAATCCATTTTTAACTGTTCCTTCTCAATATATTTCATTAGTTGGCATCAGTGCTTTTTCTGATATAGCAATCAACTTCTTAACCATATTTGTAAACTTGAAATTGTAAACTTGAAATAAGAAAGATTGATTGAAAAAAAAAAGAATTCAAAATTATTCTTGAGAAAGAGGGAGAAAATTTAAATTCACATTTATTATAAATTAAGATGAGATATATTTTAATTCAAATTATTGTCCTTTAATAAGAAAATAGACGGACAGTCGTTATTTCATTAACTCTTTATAGGTACCTACTATTATTATTCTAGATTCATAGGGCAACCATTTTTTATAAATTATTCTGCTCCATATATAACGATCCAAAATTATTACTTAATTCTCTATGAGAACAATAATAATAGCAATAAACTGTATTAAGTAATATTTGAATCTGTTTGTATAATTAAGAAAAAAAGTTCATGATATAAATTTTTACTTTTAGGTTTTTATTCACCGTAGACTGAATCATGAAAATATAGTTAAATTTTTTGGTCATCGTGAAGAAGAACCTATTCATTACATTTTTCTGGAATATGCAATGGGTGGAGAATTATTTGACAGAATTGGTTAGTGAAATTTTGCAGCTGTTTTTAAAGTATTAAACATTTTTTATAAATTAGCATCTATTAATGAATCTTATTAATTATTTTTTTTAGAGCCTGATGTTGGTATGCCCCATTCAGTTGCACAAAAATATTTTCTTCAAATATTAAATGGTGTAGTAAGTTAAATATATTTTTTTTAAATTTTAATTTCTGTGAATAGTTTGTTTAACATATTTTCATAACTATTTTTTAGTTTAATCTATTACAGAACTACTTAATCGTGTTGAGTAGTTAAATTTCCAGATCATGAAAATAGTAGTTTGTTTGATAAGTGTATGTCGGGTTATGAGAATGTCAAAAGAGTTTTGCTTCGTATGGGAACACAAAACACAAAAAATGGGAATGCCACTCTAATTAACAAATTTGCGAGGCATGTACAAGAAACTCAAATTTGTTAATGATAGTTTTATTCAATCCTTTAAATGTATAAGTTGTTCAGTTGTAAATTAAATATAATTGCTGAAAACATTACATTCTGCAATCCAGTTCTATTCTGTAATTTCTTCCCTACACTTTCTGTTAGCAACAAAAACACATATAAAATTTTTATTTTGCCATAAGTAATTTTTAATTATATATGATCTATCTCTCACACTGTTAGGAATATTTTCTTAAATTATCTTTTCAGAAGGCGAAATTAATATTGTGCATTGAAAAAACCATGAAGCTAACCATGAACACTTAAAAAAAAGTCCCTTATGGTTGTAGTTGACGCAAGAAAACTGACACAAGAAAAAATTACATTAAACATTTTGTTTAAATTTTTTTTTAATTTAAGGACCAATTAGATGCAACCCATTAAGTCAAAATTTAATCCAATTAAACATTTATTCAAATGTAGCTAGATAATTTTTAAAATATTAATTTATATCGAAGAATTAAATTCAAGTAGGTTGAATTTTTTAAAAAAAAAATTATTGGTTATGCATCTATTAGTATATTATTATATATTATCAATCAGCAATACCTTCTCAAGATGTTAATCTTATGATAACTTAGGAATATTCAGGAAAATGATTAAATATTTCGTTATAATATGCAGCTTTTTATTTTTATTTTTTAAACCACTTGTTCAAAAAGTTTTGTTTTATTATCACTATTATTTATGTAAGTTTAATTATTGTAGGCTTAGAAATTTTTTAACGCTCATATAAGAATATGAAATAAAATTACTAAAAGTATGAAATGTGAAAAGTTCCTTTCTGCAAAATTCAAACTAATCCTTGTATATTAATTGATTTTAAAATAAATATTTAATTAGGTCTTTAATATTTAATAAATTAAATAATATTTTATTAAATCATAATATTTAGTAAATTAAATAATATTTGTTTAAATCATATTTAATAAATTTAAAATTTGAATAAATCATAATATTTAATAAATCAAATAATATTTGATTAAATCGTAATATTTAATAAATTAAATAATATTTGATTAAATCATAATATTTAATAAATTAAATAATATTTGATTAAATTACAATATTAAATTAAATCAGGTTCAATTTTAAAATGTGATATTTTTTCTGTGGTTTTTTCTGTTCTTTTACTTTCCTTTGTTTTGTTTTAACAGATGAAAAACCCCAAAAAATTTGAAAATATTTTTCATCTGCCTCAGTAAGATTCTTTGCTCCATCAATGTTGTATTTTCCAATACTGTGTAAGCTGGTAGCAAAGAATTTAATTCTTGTATTGAAATTTATGAGTTTAAAGCTTAGATTTCTTTGAGAACTCCCACATCAAATCTCTTTTGTATTTAATAATATGTAATAAAAATGATCATAATAATTACTTCACCTCCTTTCAAATTAAGTAAATTAAATCTAATGAGTTTGATCAACCAATCCTCTTGTTATAAATGTTTTTCTATTACTATAAAAATTTTAAGTTGAAAATATAATAAACTTGGCTACAAAAATAAACCCTGTTAAGAAGAAAACACTAATTGCCTGAATAATTAATTTGGCTAGAAGAATATTCTCATCAAAATTTTTTTAAAAATCATCTCCCTAAACATTAAAAAGTGCCCACTTAAATTAATCCTTAAACCTAATTTACAGTATTAAAACTAAAAAATTGAATAATATTTTCAAAAAATTTCCTTCTCTCCCAAAAACTTTAAAAGGCAACTTTCTTCCTTGATATCCCCCTATGGGCACCTCTGCATCATAAGATTCCGTGGATCGAGGTAAAATAAATTTATCTTATTACTTTCCCTGTTTCAGCAAAATTGTTTTTTTTCTTGCAATTGATGGTTTATTTTGTTGTTCTTTAAATATTATAATTGTTGAAGAATAGAGGTTAACATTTGTTCTGACTGAATGGATTGTGTAACTCCATGGTTAGAGTTAGTTCTCTGCGGTTATTAGCGATGGTTAATTGAGTTTTTACTTAAAAAAAATATATAGATTTATGTAGAATTATCTTTCTTTTTCAATTTTATATTCTTACTTGATTCTTGATATGTTATTTTTCATTAGACAATTTAAATTATAAATATTTGTTTAATGTACTTGCTTTATATTTCAATTTATTTTTACAAAAAAATGATTTTATAGGAATATATGCATTCAATCGGCGTGACTCATCGAGATCTAAAACCTGAGAACATTTTATTGGATGAAAATGGTAATTAAATCCCATTCATATGGATTATCTGTTAATTATCTAGAATTGAATTGCTTGCTTTTTGTAATTTCTTACTATAGAGATTTTTATTATTTTAGATAATGTTAAAATATCAGATTTTGGACTTGCTACAGTTTTTCGACACAAAGGTAAAGAAAGAATCCTGAATAACAGATGTGGAACTTTACCTTATATTGCCCCAGAAGTGTTTTCAAGGAAATACAAGGCGGAGCCTGCTGATATCTGGAGCTGTGGTATTCTTCTGGTAGTGATGTTGTCAGGAGGTAATTATTGATTTCCCCTCCAATGCATTGGTTTATTTATATTCTCAAAAAGTTTTCAACTATAGTTTTTGATAAAAAGTATTTTAGAAATTTTATTAAAATAATCATTAAATGAGTTATATTATTTTAGAGATATTACTTGATGTTAATCGTATAATTTTGTTTGATTCTCTTATGTTAAATTGTTTTGTCATTGCTTGTTAAAAAGGAAAAGTTATTTCCTTATTTATTAAATTTAAGATTGGCAAGTTTCTTCCTTACAACCATGGAAGCAACTGCCCCAGAAAAAATAAGTTTCTTTCAAACTAAGTGGAAAAAAATTAGAGCTATTTTTCAAAAAGAGATATCAAATAAACTGTTTTTTAAACAGTTTTTAATTGTATTTTTTATTTAAATAATAGTATTAATTTTCATTTTTTTTCAATGTATCATTTTTAAATAAGTGAAATCAAAAAAGCAACGATTTGAAAAAAAAAATTAACAAATATCCCAAGAAATTAATATAACTGTAATTTTATAACAATTTCTATGAGTAAATAAGTAGGTTTTTCTGTAACTAAGTTTTATAATTACATAAAGAACTATTAAAATAACATCCAGTTTAATTGATATAACTGAACAAATAACATGTAAAACATTGTATACAATATTAAAAAAGCATATTTTGAATTTACAATTATAAACAGCATGCTAATTTTTTTAAAATCAAGCACTGATAAGTATGAATACTCAATCTGACTTTTAAATAATATGACTTATAGATTTTTGAAATTCTCTATGGAATTTTTTAAAATTTTTTTTAAAGTAGATGTAAAACACTTTTTACATTCTGGTTTTATATTAAATTTAATCTTAATAAATTTGAGTAATTCTTATAATACATTTAAACATTTATATTGGTCTTTAGTTTCTTCCAATTTATTCAGTTTCTTTCATTTTGCCCGGTTTCTTCCAATGTCGTAGAAGAAATAAGATTGGTTTGGACAAAATGCCAGCCGTGGTCAAATCTATCAATTTATTCATATAAATAGTTTTTTCAATAAAAACCGGAATGTTTGAAAGTGAATTTCAGACATTGTGTCCGAACCTTAGATTTTTTAAAAAAAGAAGAAAGAAAAAGAGTATATATTGTAATATGCATTGTTATGTGTATTTCAGAACTTCCATGGGATGAAGCCACTAACAGTTGCCGAGAATTCATATCATGGATAAGATCAAATTTTTCTATCTCCCCTTGGACAAAAATTGATAATCTTCCACTTGGTAATATTTAGCATTAATAATTGAAATATAGTATTATTGTATTATATTACAAGGTTATTTTTTTAATTCTGTAATATTTGTATATTTTCATTTGTTGATATGCTTTCATTTAGTTCAAAATATTGAAATGTTGTGTGGTTATAAGAAAGATATTTATATAATTGATAGATTTAGATATTTATAAAATTGTTATTTTTTTTCTTGCATGTGGAATTGAAGATAGTATTAGAGGATAGTATGAAGATAGTATAATCTTTGGTGCTGAACGTTTGCTTAGTGTAATTTATCCTTATTTTGATGTTTGTCAGTTTTTCAAAACTAATAACTGAAGATCAGACTAATTTTTATGTATGAATGATTCAAATTTTAAATTAAGTGGAACATTAATATTATTATTATTATTTTTTATCTGTTTAGTGAGGGCCGATTTGGTGTTCTTACTCAATCAAAAATTGTTTTCTTAGTGAATAATTTTTTAAAATTTTTATATTTAGCATAAACTTTAATAGGTTACCACATTGCCGCAACCATGCTGTTGGGCTTGAAGTTGTAGAGCCGTAGTCTTTATGATCCCTGGCCCACAAGAGGCTGTTGTGGGAATGCTTTACTTTTTAGCATATTCTTTATATTTAAAGCATATTCTTTATCTTCATCCAACATATCTTTGTGCACCCACAATATAACAATCTCACTTTTTAGCTCCATTTTGGGATATATGTGTATATAAAGAACTTATCTAAGGAATGTTATATTTACCAAAGCAGCATATCCTTTTAGATTTTTTTCTCCCTATGAAGTATTATATTAAACAGTGCTTTTATGTATAGATTAATATTGAAAAAAAGTTGCATTATTACCAATTTTTTTGTTAGTTACAAAATTTTCGTTAAAATAACGAATTGCATTGTTAAAATTGGTCAAATATTTAACTGAGTGAATATTTACTGTATTTTTCTGCACTCACACTATAGCAAATTCACTTTTTAACTTCCATTTTCATACAGACCACAAAGGACGTTATATCTTGTGTCAACTGTCTTTATTGGATACTATTTTTGAAACATTTATTTGATTTTGATAAATTATATAAATTTATTTACTATTTTGAAAACCTAATTTAATAACTGAAACGTAAAGAAAATCTATTTGAAGTTTTTATTGAGGAAATTACAGAAATTAAACAAATTGAATTACAGGAAAGTTAAATGGATATTTGAAAAAAAAAAAAAAATTAAGTTAATAGAAAATTAAATGAATGATTTGTTTTTACGTGTTTTGATGTAATATTTTTTTTGAAGTAAATACTAATTAGATCCTTTCTTAGCATATATTTTAATGTAGGTTATTAATTAATTAAATAAAAGTTGATAAATAAATTATAAATTATTTTAGAAAATTTCTAATTCAAATGTAATGAAATTTGAATGGGAAGTTTCCTTCTCAAGCTTTTTGATAAATTTATTGGATCATTTATTTAAATCTTGTGTAAAGGCTAACCAAACGTTGTACTAAATGCGCTCTAAATTGTATATGGCAGTTTTTGTTTGTTTCTTTTACTCTTTTAAAATTTAAATGCCCTTATAATTTTAAAATTAGCAAATAATTTTAGAAAGCTTCATAATGTAAATTTGTCATAAAAATGCAAAATGAGTAATTTATCAAGCTATTGATTTCAGATTTTTAATTTTTCTTTTTAAAATTGCACTGGAAGCAAATTTTTAATTAATAAACTTATAAATAAACGTTTCTTTTTTTACTATTTCAAATTTATTTTTCCCCCCACACTTTGAATGTGAATTTTAATTAATATATGCTAGAAAGTTTTTATTATTTAAATTTGCGATTTTTAATCTTATTTTTAATTTTATCTTAATCTTTTGTAGTTCATATGCTCATGTTGTAAAATGTATGAATAATTATATAGATATGAATATTCTGTATTATTATTTAGTATTTAATTGCTGAAGCATTTAAACATTTTATACATAAGAAATTATTATTGTACTTATCTCTGATGTATTTTTAAGAGCTATTTTATTTTAGCAATTTGTATTATATTTATTTGTATTTGGTATTTGAGTAATCTGTATAAAGCAATCATTGTTTCATTTATTTATTTTTTATGAAGAAAAATTTTTTTGTTTTAAATTGCACGTGCTTTCATAAAAGAATTAAGTCATAGAATGCTATTACTTAAATATATTTTAGCCTAAATGTTTCCAAGGGACAAGATAAATGTTAAATTGAATAATAATTTTTTAATGGAAAAGTAATTAATTTGTAAGTATTAGTTAATTTGAAGCCTTTTACTTTTGTCTGTGTTTAAAACATTTCTAAAATTATGAAACTATTTGCTGTAACTTGAAAGAAAACTAAACATATTTTCTTACTTTTTAGCTCTCTTAAAAAAGATTCTCCTCTATTCTCCTTCAAAAAGATATGGTATTAAAGACATACAAAATAATTTATGGTGCAAAAAGACTTTAGTACATGAAGGTAAGTTATTTTTATTTTATTGTGAACCTTTATAATATAATGTTAATGTTCTTTTCTCATTATCTGTAAATAAAGTTGCTTATTGCTCACCGATTTATTATTTTATTTCTGAAATTTGGCAAGATAATTTTTGTCTTGGCTTTCATATTCTCATGAATTTCTGCTGCACCAGCAGAGGGTCCTGTAATCATTCACAATAATTATATATTTATCACTTGTGAGGCAAGCAATGAATTGGAGTTAGAAGGCTTATTGAGAAGTTTTTCAAATATCTCACCATCATATTTATTTGTTTTAATTTCTTATATTTATTAAATTTGATTGTTATTAAATATGGCCTTTCTGTTCATTGCATAATTTTACACTTAGCCATTCTGCAATACATATGTTGTAATGTAAAAATTTTTCTGTAGATTTGAGATATTAAAACTGGTATTAGGTATACTATTTCTTTCTTTTCTCAATAGAGAATTTTGGAAGATGATGAAATAATTCTGAATTTTATTTTTAAAGAATTATTAATTAGGAAACACGTTAAAATAATTCTTTGTCTTTTAAATTTTTATAGCTATCAGATATAAAAAATAAGTTATATTTTTCTCTATTATTATTATATGGATATTAATTATAACTTAGTTAAAATATGTTAAATGCCATATTGTCCCAAAAACACATAATTGCAATTGAATAAGCATTAGTATTGATTTTGGACTACTCTTGAGATAAGACGTGGGACTTACTTATTTGCTAACATACTTAATTAGTTATTTATAGATTTTTTCTGTGAGATAAGTGTTGTGTCTCAGGCTGTCATGTATATTTTTAATGTAATAAGAAATATAATATAGTCATATGTTAAGTGTGAGCCCAAGAAGGCTATAAATAAAGTAAGTCCTTAACTCCTGTGTTCCTTTCTATAAATCAAATTCCCAGTATGCTTTCTAACTGTGTTACTCTTGGTCTGTGTTATGTACTAATAAATGTCCTTCTCTGATGCACTAATCTCTAAATTCACAAATATAATTCACTATATACATTCACAAATATTAGTACATTTGAAAAAGTCATAATATTTCATTTAACCAGAAATTCTTGTTACCCAAATAAAAAAAATATCCACTGGTAATTCTAATTACCAATACTTTATTTCTCTATAAATTATTTTTTACCATACTTATAAATTTTAGATATATATTTTAGGGAAATATCCAAAAAATTTAGCAAGAGCCATACTAGCCTTGTATGTATTCAGTAATTAAAAAAAATCATAACTATTAAAGGAAAAAAAAAAAAAAGGATAGGGACATTAACTACTGCAGAGTAGCAGTTCTCTCAACGAATTTTCTTCCTATAAAAGGACCAATTTTCAAATTTATTTTTTAATTTGCTCTTTTCTTTATATTTGAAATTTATTTTTAATTTTATTATTTTATTTTTGTACTTTTCACGACAAAAAGTCCTTCTTGTTAGCAAATGTCTTTAAATTTATATATTTTTTATTGGTTTTTCAAATATATGAATATGTATTAAGGCTTTCAGCATTTCGCTGATTTAATTCTCATGAAGTTTATATATAAATTTCTTTAGCTCTGGTAATTTTTAATGTTTGTTTTTTAGATTCTGCGCGATGGTGTGGTGATAGTTCGACTCGTAAACGGTTGTGTTCTGATTTAGAGCAATCACCAGCACTTAAGTAAGTTTCTTTTGTTTTTCAGCATTGCTTAATTTTTATAAAAAATCTGTTAGTTTGGTCTTAAATGTTTTTATAATTTCGATATAATTCTGTTTTTTTTTTTATCAAATTAATTTATTATGCTTAATATAGTTTTTATTTTTTACTATTTGAGAAAGCTGTTTGTTGTTTTCTTTGGATATAAATTTAATTAAAAACATTTTTTTATTACTTTTTTTTTCTTTTTAAAAGAATTTAAACTGTTTTATTATGCATATTTTATGGGGATATTTTATTCAGTGACAATATTTGTTGTCAAAGATTAGATATTTAAAAATAAAAATTTAAACCTTTTATGAAGCATTAAATTCGTACATCTTTCAGATTAAGCTGTAATTTTAGAAATGTGAAAATAAAATATTTTTTATGCAAACTATGCATTTGTCATTATTTCAATTTATCTAAACTACAGAAGTGTTCGAATTTAATCTTTAATTTTTTTAAAATATCAATAATTTTCTAATTTATTAAGCATTTTTTAACACATGTTAATAATTTTTGTATCAATTATTTACAAAGCAGTATATTTTTAAATGAACAAGCAAATAAAAGAAAGAAATATTGATTTGGTAGTTGCTACCTATCCAAAACACAAATTTATTAATTAAGTTTGAACAGAATCATAGTAATTAATCAACACGTAATTTACTTTCAATTTAAATGAAAATAGAAAAAGGACATTATTTTAAGAATATAGTATCTTAATCCAATTTCAAGAAAGGTTATGTATGTTTTTAATTTTTTTTTGCTGCTAATTTGCTTTTTATATTTTATTTTGCAATATTTTTAGCCCTTGTCTTTACTTATGAATTTTTTTTTTTTTTTTACAGAGAGGAAAGCGTTACCAAACTGTCATTTTCACAACCTGCTCCTGTGAATAGGGAACATGAGAAAACTAGCTGTTTGCCTGGGGATATTAACTTCTCTACTGTTGGTGTCAGTTTCTCGCAACCTGTTGACCCAGATAATATGATACTATCCACGCAGTTTACTGCATCTCAGTCTCCTTCAAGGGTACCTATACAGTTTTCTCTGGTACATCTAATTATGCTCAATATATTAATACATATGTATTTAACCTTATTTTTCTGCCTTACAGACTCCTTTGCCTATTGGTACTCGCCTAACAAGATTTTGTATTGGCATGGATATTGAGCTAGTGTATGCTGAACTTACTAAGGCCTTAGAAAAACTTGGCTATGGTTGGAAATATAGTGCTCCTGGACAGGTGATTTTTTTTCTTCTGGTCTTTATTTTAAATTTTGTTTAATTTCTTTGTTCTTATAATTTTTGATTTAAAGTATAAAGAATTTTTAGTTACATATTTTTCATACTTTATATAGCTGGAAAGTATAATTTTTTTAAGAACTGTTTTATATTTTACTTGCTGTTATATTTTTCTTTATTTGTATTTAAGTATGTTTCTTTTTTTATATTGTAGTTTGTTAAGCTAAGCAAAATTATTTTATAATATTTGTTTCATTTTATTGACAGATTATTTATAAAGGAAGAAATGTAATTGTTTTTATTTAATTTTATTTTCTATGTTTAATTTTATATTTGTTATTATCGTTACAAGATAGTCATTTAAAAGATATATCCCTAAAAAATGTTGCTTATTTGAATAAACATAGATTCTGTGACCACTTAGTACTGTTGTAATCTTTTCTCTCCTTTATCGTTTTATTTTGCATTTCTTTCATTTTACTATTGAGTGTCACATTTTTAAATTTTTCTTTCAAAGCAAAATGTAAAATCAGACAAAAAGGACCAATCCATATTGACATTAGAGGTAGAAATTTTTTTTCAAATCAAATATCTTCTGCGAGAAGTACTGTCTGGAAAGTTCGTAAAAACACCAGAAGTGCCACTTAATAGGTTAAAAAGGTCATATTTTTGGATTAGGAAATACATTTATGTTAAAAACTGACTTCTCGAAAGGCAAGTTAAATACTCTTAAATGAACAGCAATGTCTTCCCAGTGATAAAATGTAACACAAATTCAGTACCATAAGTCTTGGCTCATTTGGCCAACAATACTATCCAATCAATGCAGAATTCACGTTTAGGTTGTCACGTCTCGAGATTCTGAAATATCCCTACCAAACCAACTGCATATATGTAGAACGCCTTAAGTCGTATAAGTAGCAGTATTCTTGCAAATTTGTCACAAATTGGGATTTTGATTGTAAATTTGTAAGAGAATTTCTCAATTTTGTGGAATTTCAAATTTGTAGAATTTCTCAAGAACGTTAAGATGGTCTCATGATATTGCATACACATAGCCTTTTTAAGTTTCAAAATATAACATAAGTTCTAACGTAACATATATAAGCTCTAACATAAGTTTTAGAATTCAAAATGTTTAAAAATGTTGTTTGGTATTTTGATACTTATCTTAGTGCTACGAAATAATGAAAAATTAAATAGTTTTTTTCCATCTGTTTTTTGTTAAGTTCAAGAAATGATATTGCTTATTTATTTTGTTATTAAATATGCGTGAGAGGTACTTTTAATAGACATTTATTTAAGTATATCTTAGGTATTGCCTTTTGTTTTGATAATTCTTTGAGTAATGCCATTGGGTTGGGATATCAGTGTTTATGTAATAATTTCTCATATTTTCATTATAAGAATTGACTAGTATTAGAATTTCCTCCCACTTTCACCTGATTTGAAAGAACAATGAAGGAAAGGCTTGAAAAGTAATGAGAACAAAGTAAAATTTAAAATAAAAGAAAAAATTATTTTATAACGCAAACATTATTCTTGAAATGAGTAAATTTTTAAACTATATTTTCAAATGACAGCAAGCAAATACAAAAAATTATTTGAAGGATTTCCTTTTTTAACAAGCTTCTGGAAATCTACCATTTTTTGGCAGATTATATTTTAGATGATACTAATTTATGACATTTTGTTGATTAAATTACTTTGTTACATGTTAAAAATTTTACTAGATGTTTACAGAGTGCATAGCATTTTTAAAAAGTGCTTGAAGGTGCTTATTTTTGATTTGCGTTTTTTAAAAACCCTTAAAGGTGGTTTTTTTTATAAGAGTTTATAAAAAGTGCTTAATTTTCTATCTTTTAAAAAGATATTTTTTCTTTTTCATTCCAATTGTCGTTCTAAATTACAAAAAATGTGTGCTTTTCGCAATTTTCTCTGCAATATTTATCAGAAACTAGTTATTTTATCACGATTATGTAGAGTTTTTGAAAATGTTTTTAAATTTTGTTGATATTATGTTTATAAATTTGGAACTTTAAACAATAGAATTTTTTTTTTTATTACTGTTCAGATCCTAATTCTGATTTTTTTTTGGAAAGTGATTAAAAATATTATTTAAGTGCTTAAAAAATACTTAAAAGGTGCTTATTTTTTGTTGAAAAATTTGACTATGCACCATGTGTTTAGAAACTAAAATAATGTTTCCATAGGTTTTATTTTGTTATACCTTTAAATAGAAAAATTACATGTCTATAATTAAACCGTTATTTAGATAGGTTGGAAAATAAAGTTATTTGTTGCTAATTTCTTGTTTCCCCATTCCCTATTTGTTTTTCAACTTCTCGCTCATATTTTTGTAGGTCACTGTCACTACACAGGATAGGAGAAAGACACTATTAATTTTCAAGGCAAACCTGATTAGTATGTCAGACAACATCCTTGTAGACTTTAGGAGATCAAGGGTATGCATTTTCTTTTTCTTTTCTTTTTCTTTTTTTTATATTTTTTTAGTTTTGTCAAATTAAATTAAGTTTTTATATTTGGACAGTGTTCAAAATAAAAAATGAAACAGCTGTGTAACTTATAATCTTATTTCAGGATTTTCAGATATTAAGATGCAATCTTATGGATGGAAGGGCTAACTTTCAACTTCCTAATTAATTTTTGCTGACAATATTTTAAGTTACAAGACGGAAACAGAAAATATTTTTTATGAATAGGCATATCTTATATATTTCTAATTATTTAGTAAAAATCTGCGAGATTTTTCATTTTCCTATTTTCAGATATAGATAAAAAAAACCAAAAAACTTTTAACTGCATGACAGATTTTTCATTACTTTAAACGATGTAATTTAAATGACAAGTTCCAAAATTTAAACACAATTAGTTAAAAAGTTCTTGAGAAATAACAGTTTAAAGATACAATGTTTTTTTATATTTTATTACTGAAAAACTATTCAGAAGATTTAGTTCAAATTTTCGACTTTTGTATTTCAAATAATGTAATGTTTCAATTCATTAATAAAATCACGATTTTCAATTCATATTAAATTAAAAAATAAAAGATAAAATAATCTTAAACAGTTATATTATTATCTTTAAGAAAAAAGATTTATAATTGTGTACAAAAAGTGAAATTAGCATTAAGGGTATCTAATTTCTGTCACTCTCTTAAAAAAACTATTAAGACATTGTTTTATAGCTTGCAAATTTTGAGGGCCAAGAAATAGATTTGTACCAGAAAAAAAGTATGTTTATTCAGAGAAAGTACTTTGTCCGATTTTGTAACTAAAATATCACAAATAAATAAGCTTGTTCTAAGTTATACCCTTGAAATATTAAGATTGCATCTTAGTTTGTAAAAATTCTATTACTAGATTAAAAGTTGTTGATGTGTTCCATTTTTTTTGTATGTTGTACATGTGCTTTTGAAGCGCAAGACAAATGCAGTTAAACTAAAAGCAGTTAAAATTATATAATTACTTTTATTATTAAGCATTAAATACTTATTTATCAGATTATATTGCTGTATGATTTTAAGTTATAAAGCAATTTTTTTTTTGTTCAAATGTTTTGAACTATGACATTTAACCAAATATTTTTGGCTAGATTAAATTCAAACTTTTTCCAAATTTCACTAAAATTAAAGAAAAAAAAATGCTACAAATGTCTATTATGTTTTTATTTTTTATAGGTAATTAGAAGTATTTTTCTGTAAGCATAATTAAAGGGAAGAAGGAAGTTAATAAGTACATTTTCTTTAAAATTTATGAAAAAACTTACTAATCAAACTTTTGACCATACGTCATATTTTTTGATTGAAATTTGTTTATTATAAATTTTAATGAGCCAGTTTTTGGTGTACTCTCTTTTAATAATCTTTTTTATAAGTTTTTTTTTTTTACCAACACTTGCTCCATGACTTGAGATTAGTGTGGACGAGTCATTAAATTTTGTTTATTTATAAAAGCAATTAAAGGGAACTTGAAATTAAAATGTGAAATTAAATGGAAAGTGAAATTAAAATAGAACCATAGTGCGTTAAATAAATAATTTTAACGATGTTTATTTTGATTAATGTTAATGCTAAATTAACATGATACACATTAATGCATATAAAAGTGAAACACAATTTTTGAATCTGTCCTAAGTTAGAGAAATCATGAGTGATTTTTCATGCTTTTCATTTTAGTTCCTTGCTCACCCTAACCCCTATCCATCTTTCATGTTCTCCATTTTTGATAAAAACAATCTATTTACTAGTTCAGATTTTTATTATGAGATCTCTTCTAGGTTGTGAGTAAATTGAAAATAAAAGCTATTATCATAAAACGGTTGGTTAGATCAAAGGTTGTAGTATATTCAATGTAAAATTGCGAGAATTGAAATATCATGAGCTTGTTAAAATGCTTAATGGCATTTTTTGAATTGTGCTTCTCAAATGCCATATTAATTAATATTCTATTAACTTCAAAATGTTCATGCTAGAAAAGAACTTGGGTGCGAGTAATTGATTTTTTACTAAACAGTTGCTTGATAGTTTTTCAGTTTCCATTTATGTTTTGGCATGATTAACTCAAAATGAGAAAAACAACAACATTGTTTTTTAAATTTATAAAAATTGTGTAAACAATTCAAAATAAAGTGTGGTTTAATTGAATTTCTACCTTACAAAACTGCATTATTATACTAATTTTTACTATTTTTTAATGAAATATATTCAGTGCACTTGAACTGTTTATTATATGCTGATACTTTTTGCATTTATATCTGATACTATTTATTATAGGGAGATGGTATTGAATTTAAACGTCACTTTTTGAAGATAAAGGAATCTTTGTCACATATTATACAGAAGCAATTGTTTTCAACTGGAGTTTGTTAACATCATTTAAAAATTTAAATATTAGTTTTATATTTTATACTCATTGTAATTAATCTAGTTGTGTTTTATAGTCAAAATGATGTATAGTTTTCACTGTATTATATTTCATCATTTTAAAAAATGTCTAAAATATTTTTGTGCAAATTTTTATGTGAATAAAATATTTTCTTTGAAATGTTTAATTCTTTAATGATGTTTGTTATTTTAATAATAATTTATCATTATTTTTAATAATGATATTTTAGGTCACCTTGAGCCAGAAGCAGAATTCATATTAATTAGCCACCTCATTGGAAGACGAACACTCTATCCTCTGGTGTAACACTTTAAAAAAAATAATGATTGTTTATTTATTTTTCCTGCATAGTATTCTCTAATGTTCTGGTTACAGTTGTGAGCTTCGAAGCAGTTAGAACGACATGCCGTCTGTTAAAATAAGAAAGCTTATTTTAAACTTAAAGAGGATTGGGTCGAAATCGCATTTTATATCACTGTATTTAAAAAATGTAGGTAAATACATTTTATGGAAATGTTTAATGGTTGCTCCCAAAACAACTGACCCCCTGAAAGATCAATTGAAGGAAAAGCTATATAAATGCTGTGGTTGCTGTGTTCTGCCTGGGAAATCTGATCTTTCCTTTTTCTGAAGTTATGAAATTTTTCAATAGATGGCTCTGCTGAAATGAGAAGCTTTGAATTAATGTTTTCTGTTGCCTGCATAAAAATCTAATTGAGATATTTGTGTAGACGTCTGTTACTTTTGTCTTCAAACTGCACAGCATGGTTACTTTAAATGGTGGCTATTTTGAAAGTGTTAAAAAATAACTGAATTATATCGAAAACAAAGTATACATTATCATCTGCAGAACAATTTACAGTTTTTCTAGGTCAGCAGGGCTATCAGTCGATGAACTGTGTAAATAGTTTTAAAATTTTGGAAGGATGAATTAACTGTTTTCTAATACTTCTTTATGACATCGTGTTAATGTCATCAAAATGCTTTGATCTTAAAAATATGACATAATTGAAGTGCTTAATGTTAAAAGGGGGTATGGAGTATTTTTCCGAAACTATGATCTTTGTTGGTTTTGGAATATCAAATCACCGATTATCAAAGATTCAGTAATTTTCTAGACTGACTGAAGAAGGGAATCCAACAATTTCGAAGCAATTAAAAAAATCTTTACAAAATCAACACAGTTTTTTTGAAATTTTTTTCTCGAAAGTACAGATTTGTAACATACACCCTTTTAACATTGACCGCTTCAATCATTTAAAAGGTTTGCAAATAATATGAGGTTCTACATAAAAAGAAAATAATCTGAGAATAAATAAAAAATCTTACAGAAAATTAAAAATTGATAAAGACGAAATTGACATTGTGGAAGAATTTGCCTATCTCGACTCTATCCTCGACCGCAGTGGAAGTGTGGAGGCAAATATTAAGAACAGTTATCCGTGCAAGAACAGTTTTAGAAACCTTGATAAAATTTTAAAAGTCGACAAGAAATAAATACAGAACATAAATAAATGCCTAAAAAACAATAGTCAGAGCAATTTTATTACATGGTTCTGAAACATGGTGCCTTATAAAATCAGGCATCCAAGCATTTTGTGGTATTTCAAAGTAGCTGTCTTAGAAAGATCTTCAAAATATTGAAGCCTCCTAAAATAAGAAATAAAACAATAGTGGAAAAAGCAAAACTCGCTAAAATAAGGGAACAGAACAACTAAAGAAAGTGGAAAAGGACGGTACATGTACAATAAATGCCAAGAGAAGAGTTAATGCTTATTTCTCTCTCCTGGGCCCCTAACGTCAAAAGAAAAAGGGGAAGGCCAAGAATGACTGGTCAGAGATAAATGCAGGTGGATTTCAAGAGAGAAAAATTTAAAGGATTAGTGGAAGTCAATTCCTAGACAAGAAACGTGGGGGGGGGGTATAGAAAAATAGGCTAGATGTCTGATGCGTGGACAACGTGAATAGCCTAAGTAAGTATGTGTAGGGCACATTGTCTGGACAGAGGACTGAACTTATCAAGTCAATCATGCTGTTAGATTTTTTTGTAAAATGAAACTTAAAATCATTTCAAGTTTAGAGAAGAAAAAATTAAAAAGTTCTAAGCAATCTTTGTGTAAAAAAAAATAAACAGAAATATTTTAAAACATGATATTGTTTTAATATTTTTTATTTATTTTCTTTTATTGTAAAACATTTCCTATCTTTTTCTTCTAAATTTTTTCATTTGTTACGCTTACAAAGCTTCTTAACTATAGATGCACTATTTAGCACTATTTAAAAAAAAAAAAACATTATTATCGATACTAAAATTGAATATTTGTTTCAGATAATTAATTACCAGACCTAGTCTTGTCTTAATGCATTTTTTTTCTCCTTTAAGCTTTTTCAAAGTACCTTTCAATTTTTAATGAATAGAAAATGATTTATTAAAAGTCCTTTGTAAGAAATTTCAAAGCTTTAGCTAGGTACTAATTATTTTCAGTGTGTTTAAATGATAAAAATGTTTTTCTAGTAATCTGTATAATGGTATCTCCCAAAGTTTCTAAACATTCTATATTGTTTAGTTTTTCCGTCGAGTAGTAAAAAAATAATAATATGAAAAGAATTATTTTTTAAGGGTCATTGGCCTTACAGTAAGTCATTAATCTCACAATTTTTTTAAAGTTTTTACACACACATTTAGAAATATGTATTTAATAGAAAAATAAGTTCCACGTTTTGCTTAGCAAAATAGGTTTTATTTTTGAAAAATTTCAAAATTAATTACATAGTTCACCAATGGAAGTCCATTGCAGCTTAAAAGAAAATTACAGCTCTGTTTTATGCCGCATTTCATCAGTGGCCCCCATCCCCCCAAGCTCTTGGGTGCATTCTTGGGTAAATTCTAAATTCCCCCCCAAACTATTCGTTTTATTTAGTGTAAAAATTCCCCCCGCCCCAAGCATTAAGTGGGCGCATCGTGCGCCCACCTTCCCCCCTGATGGGGGCCCCTGCATTTCATGCTATTTCAACTAATATATTTACGCAGGCAAATGTTACTTTTGTCTCTGACTGCACAGCGCTGTTGTTGCAGAGTGTGGTTGATTTGAAAACATTATTTTAGAGTTTATTACTGTCATCAGTGCCATTTGTTGATGAACTTGGTAATACATTTTTAAACCCGAAACGATCTAGTTTCCTAAGCAGAACGCAGCAAACCATACATTTATTTTACGTTATACTATTGATTTTCCAACTCATCAGTTATTTATGGTGACACTCGGTAACTAACGATTAAATAAAAAAATTTGTAACAAGTTAGGGACAAACGGGACCACTTAGCGCACAATTTAAGCTACAGATTTTAATCCCTAACTGGAAGATATTAGCCCCTTTGTGAGTAACACTTGAGAGCTAAGTAAAAAGATCGCGAAAAATCATATTAATTTCTGCGGATAGAAAATAACTAGTAGTAGAAAATAACGTTTTCATTGTTAAAAATGGATGCTACAAATTCAAGATATTTATTTTAAAAAAGTTATTTATTAAGAAATTATTAGACGATTAAAATTATTTATTAGGAAAACAAAAGCAATATCATTACTCGGTTACCGCTAGGACTCGAGCACGAAAAACCTGCTGGACAAGTGAATGTGGTACATATCTAGCTTTTCAAATATTTTTTTTTTCGGTTATGGAATCCTAAATGACCAAGTTTCTATAAGCGGAAACTTGATTTTATAACGAAACTTCATTACCAGCTCTAAATATTAATCTTATTAAATTTAGTGCAATAAAATAGGAAACAGTACTTCATTTGGTTAGATAGCAAAGTCTATTACACAAATAGGTACAAGTGCAAAATTGTACATAAAAGCCCTCATAACTTCTAAATTATTAGTCCATTCGTCTCGTGGTTGAACTCATTCGATTCAGTGTAAAAAATATATAACGAGAGCAATAGCTCACTTGCTTATAGAAAGAATGCTCAATTCTCCACATCCCCTCAAATCATTCCATTTCTAAACAAAAAGGGCTTATGGAAGAGTCGGGGAGTTTCTAGCTATCGTTTATAATGAAATAACAAATCTTTTTATGAAAAAAAAAATTTTGGGTATTTATTTTTCCGAAGGAAAAGTCTAATTTTACCAGGACCATGAGTACAAAACTGTGCTTTTTAGGCAGATAAAAATACCTTTATGACTCCTTAACTATTGGTATCATCGTCACAGGATTAGTCTCATTCAATTTAGAATATTACGTAAGAAAATATACCTTACAAGTTCAGATAATCTCCTTCATAGTTAATTTAAAAAGTGTGCATAAGACCTGTTACAAATCATACATTTTATACATAAAAAACTAAGTAACTTCTGAAGTAGTTATTCTATTGACTCATGTTTAGCTTCATTCGATTGAGTATAAGAGCTATGTAAGAACAGGGTCTGATTTATCATGAGTCCTGAGAGGCCCAGGCATAGGGCCTTCATATTTCTGGTGGCTCACTAAATACTACAAATATATTCTATTTGGGTTTTTGCTTAAGAATTGTCTTTTAGAAATCAAAGTAAAAAAAAATTAAATAAGTATAACCTTAAATTTATTTACATATCGTTATTTATTTATGTAATAATTAGCTTATGAACACTTCATAATTAAACAACATGTATATTTGGCTTAAAGCAACAACCAGGAGGCCAAAATGTTTGTACAATACATAAAATCCTTGCAACTTCTAAACAATTGGTTCTTCTTTCTCGTGATTGGTTTAATTTGATTCGGCAATGCCTAAATTACTTGTGTAGAAGAAATTCAAATCTCTTAAAAAAAGGGTGAGGCGTGCAGAGGAAAGTAGGGTAGTTAGTAGGTACCTTTTACGAAGACACATGAAAGCTTTCTGTTAAAAAAAAAGTTTGGGTATTAATTTTTCTCAAGGAATTTTGTTTGCTAGACTAACTGGTCTGAAAGGGCATCCTTGCTCTTGGTGTATTCATATAAGATGAATATGAATAAACAATCCGAATTACGGTTTTAGAAAAAGAATTGCTATAAAGGCTGAGACTGATTGTCAGAAAACCATATTTATTCTTGAATTTAGTTATTTATTTTTTGAGTTAAAAATTTTAATGAGAAATACTGTTGCAAATTTTTATAAATACCTATTATTTTGATTATTT